ATATATGATACAATTTTGAAGTACGAAGGGAAATTTAAGAAAATCCCTTATTTATTAACTATCCAGGGAGAAGCCAGGGGAAGCTTAACTCTATCCTAGCAATGATTAAGGCTGAGGTAAAAAAAAGAAAAAAATTAGATGCTGCTAGACGCCAACGTTTTATCTATTTCTGATTCCTCAAAGGCTAAAAAAAAGTACCTGATATATATCCATGTTTTGCAAATCAAAGTAAAATATGTTAAAATTCATCTTGCAGGCTAGCACACGCACGTCTCAGAGAGCTCTCTGCTTTTTACTGGGCAGGAATCAAGCGAGTTCCCTTTTTTACATATCTAAAACAATATTTTTCTAGCATTCAAGGTTTTTCACTATTATATCCTCAATCCTACCAAGAAAATTGAAGTCAATAGGTTCATAATATCTTTTTAATGTTACAGTATCTGTCCTTACTTTTTTTTTCTCTCTCTCTCATTCTGCTAGAAATATTTCTACTTTTTTTTTTTTGAGACAGAGTCTGGCTCTTTCTTGCAGGCTGGAGTGAAGTGGCGCAATCTTGGCTCACTGTAACCTCTGCCTCTCTGCCTCCTAGGCTCAAGCTATTCTCCTGTCTCCGTCTCCCGAGTAGCTGAGACTACAGTCGCATGCCATCATGCCTGGCTAATTTTTGTATCTTTAGCAGAGGTGGGGTTTCACCATGTTGGTCAGGCTGGTCTCAAACTCCTGACCTCAGGTGCCACCTGCTTTGGCCTCCCAAAGTGCTGGGATTACAAGCATGAGCCACTGCCCCTGGCCTCTACTTTCTTTTCAAAGCTTCCCCATCTGTACTTTTCGGTGAATTTATCCAGTATTTCATTTGCAAACAGTGCCAGTTTCTGTGATGTAGTGTAAATGGCTGATATGGGGTGGGGGTGGGGGTGGGTCTCCTGTGAGGAAAATACATAAAGAAGTGCCAAAAGGACCACTCTGGAAGAAAGCACATTCCCTTCCCTGAACCTTCACCAATAATGAGTCCTGAATCAGCTCACTATTGAGAATTTTCAGTGTTTTCTTTTCCACACTAATTCTTTTCATCGGCCAGTAATTAAGACACATATCTCACCTTAGCATTAAAAATAACTAACTAACTAACTAAATAAATCACTCTTGCTGCCACCTCTTGCTGCAATCCCAACTTTCTTTTAAAACAAAGCTCTTCCAAGAGACTCTTCTGGTATCTTACACTTTTCTCTTCTGTATTTTTCTTTCCACTACTTCTTTCTCAAAACTGTTTTTAGAAAGTTCACTAATGTCCTCCTAATCACTAAACCCAAAGACATCTGCTACATTTTAATTTTCCTGAACCTTGGTCTGTGATCTTATTCCTCTCCTTAAGTCCTTATTCAGAACTTTTGGTTCTGAATCATCTCTCCTCCCCCTGGTCTCTAGTAAGACCATGCGTACTCATATTAACTCAGCTTGTTTCTAGTCTTTACTAGAATCAGACTTTTCTTCTGTTTTTTCTTTTAATTTTCTTCTGGGAGTCTATCTACTGGTGGAGCTCAATTATCTCCTGTATGATTAGCATTCCCAAACTGACACCTTTTGTTCTAATCAGGCCTCGAGTATGTGTCTGTAACTTCGTTTTGGAATTGTCATCTTCACTTATCACTTAATATTGCTAACCCTGAACTCATCATCTTCCATCTAAACTGTTCTGTGTTAATGGTCCTAATTCTTATAGTACTCAGTTTCAAACTCTTGACCCTCTTATCTTCCTCTGCCTATCTAGTCAATAAAGTATAGCATTATCCAGATTATTCCTTCACAGTAATTGCTGTAAGAGTTGCCATCCACAAGTATTTATACAGAAGTTATAAAAAATTCACATATATTCAAATGTGTCCCACACTCTTCTCAGTTCAGACTTTTACTAAAGCTTTTTCATCCACCTTTTCCTCTGTACTTTTGAAAGTTTACCCATCCTTAAAGCCACACCTCAGATACCATCAATTCTCAGAGGTATTTCCTAGTCTACTAGGGAGTAAGAAATACTCCTCCACCAAAATCCCATCTCACTTTGTATATATGCAGTCTTATTTTATTTTATTTTTTGATACGGAGTCTTGTTCTGTTGCCCAGGCTGGATGCAGTGGCACAATCTTGGCTCACTGCAACCTCCGCCTCCAGGATTCAAGAGATTCTCCTGCCTCAACCTCCCGAGTATCTGGGATTACAGGCACCCACCATCATGCCTGGCTAATTATTATTATTATTTTTTATTATTTTTAGTAGAGACGGGGTTTCACCATGTTGGAAAGGCTGGTCCCGAACTCCTGACTTCTGGTGATCTGCCTGCCTCGCCTCGGCCTCCCAAGGTATATATATAGTCTTATCACACTTTGTATATATGTCATTTAGTGATGGAGATTTTGTTGTGGGAACATCATAGAGTATACTTACACAAACCAGATGCTATAGCCTATTACACACCTAGGCTATATGTTATAGCCTGTTGCTCCTGGATTACAAATCTGTGCAGCATGTTACTGTGCTGAAAAGTGTAGGCAATTGTACCAAATGCTATTTGATCTAAACATAGAAAAGGCATAGTAAAAACATGGCATTATAATTTTATCTGACCACCATCATACATACTGTCATTCACAGATACGTCATCATGCACCACATACTGTATGTAATGTTGCATCTACCAGATTGCCTTATATGTGAATTATGTATACAAATATTACTCTATTTCCAACCATAATTTGTGAGCTCTTGGAAAGCAGTAACCTTGTCTTTCAAGTTTTCTTCAGTTAGACCCACCACAGTGCTGTAAACACAGCAAGTGCTTAGAAACCAGTTCTAAATTAACTAAGATGGAACTTGAGCAAGGCTTTGGAGTAAACTATTGAGAGGTCTATGTTCAAGTGCAATTTGTCTGAAGTTCCCCTTGAAAAGCTGGAAGACTTTAGACATATTGACCAAGGAGATAATACAATTAAAGAAGAGATCAATTATTCAAAACATGAACACATTATTATTGTTATTATTATTATTATTATTATTTTGTCAGTAGGGAATTGAAATCAGATAAGAGGTTATTACTCAAGGCTTAATTTATCTACCGGCAATTTCCAAATTCTTTGGAAATTCTCTTTCTTTTTAACGTTTTTTGCTATGGTTCTTATTGTTCTTATCTTTTGGTGTGTTGTGTTTATTTTTTACTTTGACAGTTTGCATCTGAGTTGAGGAATCAAAATGGGACAAAGGTATACTATATTTAGAATAGCTATTTTGCTGGTTAAGAGATCCAAAAAAGACTTGCTGTTTATAATGGTAATTCATGCAAGCCTATTTTAATGCTTTTGCTTTTTAGAACCACCTCAGGCTTTCAAATGTAATCAAACTTCATTTATGAAAATAGTTTATGTTTATATGTGGAATTCTCACATATTCTAGCTATAGGCAATATTTGGAATTTTAAAAATTTTGTTCTATTTATGCTGAAAGTTAACAAAAACAATACTGTACAATTGTGAGGTTTTTTTTTTTTGACAATTTATGTTGACATAGTAACCAATCTAAACCTGAAGATAAAGTATACCAAAGCAAAATAGAGAGTAAATGATGTATATCTTAAACAATAATTTTCTGTATATAACACTACATTGCTTTGAAGAGACATGTCCTCAACAACTTGCTTGGCATGTTTTGAATATCAAAATGTTTTGGTAGCAATAATCAGAAACCATGGACCTTCTTACTTGCAGTTATCTTTACCTTTTTACTGGTTTAGAATCACAAAGAATTTACTCTATGTTAATTTAATCCCTTCATTACTGACCTTGCAGCAAATTCTCACTTAAAATTTTATAGATGTGTACAGAGGGAGAGTTTTCAGAGAAACTGAAGGGGAGGTGAGAGTGAGGGAAAGGAAGTAAGGCATAAATTCTTTTAGATGATCCTAATTTAATTGCTTTACATTATTTACTAATCAAATTGATGATGGACAGAAATAAAATCAGTCATTAAAATGTGAACTACAACAATTGATTGACTTGGTTGTATTTTCCTAGTGACCTAAATTAAATAGTTATTCATACAAATTTAATGACAACACAAGAACACATCAGCTTTGTAAAACACGTGGGAGAATCCCCCACTTTCCAATGAACTTTCATTTAAAGTATTGCACATTCAACTGCCTTTTGTAAATTATATATTTTTTAGTGGCGAATACAGAATGTGTGCAACAGAAGCAAACATTTCCACCTACTTAATTTTTATTTTACATGTTTACAGTCAGGTAACCATAGGCTGCCATGAGAGAAATTATTTTTATATTTCTTCACAAAGTGCTCTAGGAGAAGAAATAATATTCTTAGTGTAAAGCTCAGTCTTTATTCTGTCAGGAAAAGTAATTATGGAAGCAAAACAAATCCACATTGTCTAATTAGGTCATTAAAAAGCATAAATGCGTCATGGAAGCTTTTCTCCTTGCCTAAGACATAAAGTAAGACAATGAAAACAGTCTAGTAATATAGAAAGATTTAGAATTTGTTTCTTTTCAAAAATAATAGGTCCTTTCATCTTTCTGTTTCCCTCAGATGAAGAGAGTTAATTTAGAGACAAAATCTTGTAATTAGTTCAGAGTTTAGTCTGATTATATTTCAAAATATTTAACCAAAAACAGGAAGCTGAAGAAAAAAACAAAATACACAGAAAATTGTCAAAGGAAATGCATAAAGAGAGTGGGTTGCTGATCAAAATGTATTCTGCAGAGACAAGATGAATATAAAATCTATAAACCAATCTGGGATACCAGAAAGCTCTTAGGAGGAATATCCTGGCATCTGCCTTTGGGATTTGAAATCCAGAATTTAATTATAGTTAACTTAAATAAAAACAAATGGCATGGTTATTTCGCCTCTTACTCTCTCTACTTTTTATTATATCTTGAGTTTTAGGAAACCCATAGCTGAAAATGTTAAGAAACGAAACATGAAAAAGAAACTTGCCTGAGATCCTCTTGACCCTCGTTTGTGGTCCCATTCTGAATGTCCCATGAGCTGTAAAGATGATAATTACAATAAGTTAAATGATTATTTTACCCGACAAACACTTTTCTTCTTTATTTTAAAGAATAATCAGGTTGTTCCAATCTTTATTAGTAATATATTAAATAGCTATCATGAATAAATTAACACGCCTAAATTAGTAGCAAACTCCTGGTTTAATAGCTAATATTTCAACTTCTAATCATTTTGAGAGTATTTTAATATCACTGTGTGATAAAATAAACTACTGTATAGCTCTGTCAGGAACATCCTAGATAGATGTTAAACCATGTATAGCTTTATTTGCATGTTATTAAGCCTTTCGCTTCTTAAGAAAATATTCTGGGTAAATTACTACTATAGTTAAACCTGCTACCACAAATTATAAGAACCAGAAGGCCAAATTAGTTCAATAATTTTTAATCCTCCTTCAAAACTGTAAAAATCTTGAAAGTTCTAAAGAGTAAAATTATTAAATATTTAATGTGAAATATGCCCAGATAGTCATAAAATGTAGATTTTCAATAATAACCTATAAAATATTATCACGTTATTTCTATGGTGGTAATAGCCCTGAACTACCTTGCTTACAAAGAATAATATTTACTTATGGAAAATAACATTTAACGTTAAGAATATTAAGGAAATACAAGATATTGACTGAGAGAAATGAAACTCCATTCATCTGTCAGTAATCTCATGACTCATCAGTACCAACTGAAGAAGTATCTACAACTAATAACTAGCACAAGATGGACTATAAATGAATTTATGTACATTATTAGCTTTTCTGTATAACAGCAATGACTCCTAAGTAGACTTAACAACAAACAACTGTTCACAATAGCAACAAAAATAATATGCCTTTGAACATTATCAAGAAATGTTTGATAACCATATACAAAAAATGGTAAAAATTTACTGATGGACATACAGTGCTACTGGTAAAGAAGACTTAATTCTATAAACTATTGAGTGCTCAGTTCTACTCAAACAAATTTAACTAGATTTCAGGTTTAACTAGATTTCAATAAAAAGCTAATAGTATTTTTAATTTTAAAAAAACATAAATTTCATTGGAGAGTATACACATATATAATCAGTTATGTCAGATGAATAAGTATAGCAATACAATGCAGAACATGAGAACTATAGCTCATGATGTTATACGGTGTGCTGAAGTTTGCTAAGAGGCTACATTTTAGGTGATTTCACCAGACACAAAGAAAGTTAAAACTGTGAGAGATGTTAATTCACTTGACCTTAGTAATTATTTTACATTGTAAATATACATCAAAATATCATGCTGTACACCTCAAGTATATACAATAAAAAAGAACTCATTAGAGGTCCGGGCACAGTGGCTCATGCCGGTAATCCTAGCACTTTGGGAAGCCAAGGCAGGCAGATTACCTGTGGTGAGGAGTTCGAGACCAGACACTGTCTCTACTAAAAGTACAAAAATTAGCCAGGCGTGGTGGTGTGTACCTGTAGCCCCAGCTACTTGGGAGGTTGAGGTGGGGAATTGCTTGAACCTGGGAGGCAGAGGTTGCAGTGAGCCAAGATTGCGCCACTGCACTCCAGCCTGGGAGACAAAGTAAGATTCCATCTCAAAAACAAAAAAGAATCCATTAGAAAATGTTACAAGTGATGAAAATACCTTTCTGGTTGTTAAAATATATTATAAAATTTAACCAAATTTTGGGATAATTGTTTAGCATTAAAATGCAAATGAATGAAATAATTTGGAATAAATATACGTATGTGTACCAACAAAATATAAAAAAGAAAATATCAAAAATATTTTGTATTTGATGAATTATTCAACTAATGAAAAAAAGGAGTTCGTGACCAGCCTGGCCAACATGGTGAAACCCCTTCTCTACTAAAAATACAAAAATTAGGTGGGCGTGGTGTGGCATGCCTATGATCCCACCTTCTTGGGAAGTTGAGGCAGGAGAATTGCTTGAACCTCAAAGGCCAAGGTTGCAGTGAGCGGAGATAGCACTGCTGCACTCTAGCCTGGGTGACAGAGTGAGACCCTGTCTCACAAAAAAAAAAAAAAAGAAAAAGAAAAATGGACTTTTAGGGGAAAAAATAATTAGAGCCTAACCTTATATTAAATACTAATATTAATTATAAATTTAAAAGACAAATTTTTAAAAAGACAAACCTGTAAATATAAAATAGAATAAAATCCAGGCAAATATTCAACCTATTGGGAAATTAAAAAATTTAAAGAAATCTAAATCTTTTTTTAAATTTTTTTTTTTATTACACAAGAGGACAATTGATCTGGCTATATAAAACTTCAGAGTATTTGCATAAATGTCACATTGGTAAAGTATCTGTAGTAAACCGTAGGTAAAGAATAATATCTTCAGGACAGTAAGGGTTCTTACAAATTTGAAAGAATCCCAACCCTAGTAAAAAATTGAGGGAAGACTAAGAATAACTTACAAAATAAATAGATCTATGGAAAGAAATTTAACTTTATTGGAAGTAAAAGAAATTCAGTATAAACTATGATAAGATACTACTATTGCCTATTATATTTACAAATTAATAATGTTGAATATTCAGAAAAGAGGGAGTAAATTAAGCATCTATATTGCTACTATATAACAAATACACATATATACATTGTGTAGATATATTTACACATATATAAAAAATATATAATACATATATTCTTAAAAATTCATACCCTTTGAACCAGTAAACTAAGATATAAAAATTCAGTAACTATAATGTGCTACTAATTGTATATCCAACAAAAGGGAAATTACTCAATAGATTACAGTATATAAAATGATACCATATAGCAATTAAAATTTGGCTTCCAAGGCCTTTATAAAAAAGAACATGTGAACTGTTCATGCTATAATAAGTAAAAAACATAACAAACTAATTTAATGAATTTTAAGCTACTCATTTTTAACAGACATAGTCAATCATTTTAAGCCTTGGAATCACCATGATGATTTAATTGTAGTTTGGCTAGCACACAATTTTGGGTACACTGACCTAGATAATCATTATATAAAATTGAATGCTTACATAGTAGATATTTATTTAATGCCTTAATTTTTTAATTTATGGATTTATTAGTACTACATCATCTCAAAAATGTTTATTGATACTAATTTAAAGTTGACTATAATATAGTTCACAAGCAATAATTAACTAATGAAATAAATAATATGATTTAGAAACATAAATTAAAATCAGTCAATTAATTGTTCATTAGAACTATCAAAAACAATTCTTGACACATTTCAAACATTGACAATACCTTACATTAAAACAGGAGGACAAGATGATTATTTTTGGCAACTTTAAAGTGGCAATAAATTGAGCTGTAGGCCTCTAGTGAAATGATTTATCCACATCTTATGGAAGATTTATAAAATGCTGACTATTAAACCTGTTATCTCCCTTACTAATGAGTGTAAACTAACAGGATCAAAATAAGGTAGTAAATTCTCCTATCACAGCTAAAAAGGGCAAATTGATCTTACAAACACAAGTTGTAATCCATAATCTATTGATTTAAGAGAGAGTGTTTGATGATGACAGTAAGTCAAAAAGGAAACATTTTTGTAGGACCAGAATTAAAATAAGAAAAGCATGTAATCACGGCCTTCTGCCATTAATTATCTTAACAATGATGATTTTAGTCAAAGAACAAAAACACTCAAAGTGTAGACTAATTTAGGTCATCATTTAGTACAGAAGATAAGATCAATTTGGTAATTTGCAAATCAGAGCTTGTATGATGCATTTCAAAAAATTCACTAAGTTTGACTTTTTCTTTTAAAGCATAAAACAGTAAAATTTGCCAAGTGTGTTATGTATCAGAGAGTTATTTCCTGGCATTATATAATAAACTGAGAAATATGTAGGGCAAATAAATTTTTTCTATTCTTATTTATATATTAATATCATCTTTATATTATATTTGAAAAGTATGAGCTGACCAAGAATATGGTAGTATTTTTAAATGTACACTCTGGCTACTTTTTTCAAAGTAATAGGAAATGTTACAGAAATCTACATCCTATGTGAAATATATTCAAAAAGAATGAACTCTGCATATGACAAATGAGATACTGTAATGTTCTACAGTCAATAAGAGCACCAAAGGAAATGAACACGATATTTTTCCTTTTGGATTTGAAGAATACAAAGTATTTATCATTAAACTTCTATTTCTAATTAAAATAATCTGAGCCAAAATGTAGCATTTATTATTTCACTGTATTTCCTTCCTTCCTCCCTCCCTCCCTTCCTTCCTTCCTTCCTTCTTTTTTAATGCAAAGGAAGAGGCACTGGTGGGGGTAAGGACTGCGTAGTGTCAGCGCTTTATTCCTTCCCATGATTACAGCATCTGGCCACTAGATGGTGCATGGGGTGGAGAGTGGGAGATGTAAGGATAGACTTCATATTAGCACATGATGATATATGAATTTTTATCCTACTTGTACAAAAAAAATTTTACTGTCATAAAAACATTGTTCTCAGATAATGGCTGAATGACTACAATAAGAAGCATATTGTCAGAATCCTTTTAAAAGAAAACTACCCACAGTGTGATAAACTGACTTAGTATTACAGATTACTTAAAATAAAATGAGGCATTTAGCTACTGGTAAGTATTCCTGTTAAAGCAGAACCATAAGGATAAATGTTTCACAAACCCTAGCCCTACTTTCTTGATGTGTGATTACAACAAATTTTTTAAAAAATGGTTATTTACAATAAATAGTAAAGAAGACAGTTTGTACATTGAGGTCAATGAATTTCAGAATTAAGTGCAAAATGATGCTGATGTTGTTTCAAAGAGAAAGTCAAACCGTCCTTTCAATCAAACGGATAAGATTGGTGTTAAGTTGCAGATGACCAAAGTAATCATTTGACATTATCATAGTAGCAGATAAAAGACATTAATGGGTCACAGACAATGAGGAAAAGAAACAGAAACAACTGTGGAATTTTCCTTTTTGCAAAAT